AGTATCAAATACCAGACATATAAAACGTAACCTGAAATCATTTATAATTACTCCATGTCTCATTATAATCGGAGGGCAAAGCCTGCAGGTTTAGCTCCTACTTATTTCAGAGGACAGACCACCGGGACGCTCCATCTCGCTTCTGGGTTTGCCTGGCTATTTTTCCGGCCAGCGAACCATTCCGCCACCCAGTGGTCCTTTTTCAGACCACTTAGTCTCCTGTACCGCTCAAAAATGCACAATATGTCTATAAATAATTTTAGGATATTAAAAGGAAGTGCTGATATATTCCGTTTTCCACGAACTAAAGTATTTGCCACTTCGGCACAAGCACAGTGAGAAACGTCAGAGGATAGATTCAGAGCAAAACTCAGATGTCCCAGCTTTTACTAGCATGTAAACGCACCATCTACACACAAATCTGGCAGCTTCCCCGAAGCATGAAATGAGTCTCAAAAATACTTGTGCACTCGTAACCGGATCTGTGTGTAAATGCAGTTTTGTGTGTGCGTACCAGGTGATTTGTGTGTACTTTTTCAACATGTATAGGCGTAGGAGAAGGTTTATTTTATTTTTAAGGTTTACAAATCCAGTATTACACACGCACAGATATTTTTACACACACACAGATATTTTGAGACTATTTTCACTCCATAGAAAATCAGCTTGGAGATCACAAAGCTCATCTTCAACAGCCATGGTGTTCCATGTCTTTGATAGTGGAAATATACCACTCCATCACTCATGTTTCTCTTGACAAATGCTCATTCATGTTGACAAAGCAGCTTTTCAATTCCTCAAAAAGCAGGGATTGCTGGATAAATTCTGTGGGTAAAGATGTATGATTAGTGCTGGCTGGCTGCTTCAGTCTGCTGAAGAGTCTGCTACTCTCTTATCCACATTTATTCCACCCAGTATTCCAGCGTGCACACTAAGCTGATCACCTTCCTTGCACTGCAGGTTGCTACATCAGCTTGTTTGCCTTGCCTGCCTGTTAAATTCCTCCTTACCCATTGTTTGCGATGCTAAGGATCTCTGTCAATTGGTCTCTTAATGCAAGTGGTCAAATTTTCTTGACAGGAAGACTGGGCAGAGGAGAACCAGCTTGTTCTGACAGGTCATATTCAGGTGGATGTGTTATTGGATACATGGAGTAAATGGAAGTTAATGTGTCTGTCGTTTTTGTCCATTGAAGACACTGAGGATTTGTATTTATTTGGACTTTTGGTAACATGATTTCTGCTGTTTGTAGTTGGCAGCTACTTGGCATTTCGGAAAATTCAGAAGATGTTGGAAGCTGTTTCGGCCCTTGTCAAGTTACCTGACCAGTGTGATGGTTTCTGCCAACTAGTGAATGGTCAGACTAACATCCAGCTTGTGAGCAGAGCTGCAAGCTGGATGGAATTCTTGCAGAGATTCACAGGTCAGCTCTGGAGCTTGCTTGGAATGGAATTGACCTGGGAGAAGTTACTAATTTGGTTTCATCTTTATGCTGATGACAGGGACTTAAGCACGTTGCACACACATACACCATTCATGGCTATAAACACACCCTCCCTAAACTCACTGGTCCCCCATCCTTAATTTGTTTATATGTTGTTGTGCAGAGGTGTTGTTCAACATATATGTTTTTTTCCCCCTCATCCTATCTGATGTTGTCATTTCATCATTTGGGTTTTGTTTTTTTGTTTTTGTAGTTGAGGGCAGTGCCCCCTTAGGGTGAAGTTATTTGTTCAATTCTATCCTTCACAGTGTTTTGTGGAAGCATGACAGTTTTCACTTTATCCCATGCAAGCACCCCATATATCAGTTTCCCAAATTTCAGGCAGCTGGGTTAGATAAGCTCTTTTTAGCCTTAAAAGCAAATAATCAAAAAAATTATGTGTGGTTTTATGCAATTTGCTACCTGTTCTGAACTTTTTCTGCTCTGTCTTTTGAAGGAGGAAGACGCACTCTCTGTCTCCCTGCCCTCCCTATCTTCCCTGCTCAGCGTCTGTGTCCTGTGTTTTTAGAGTCTTCTTTGAATAGCTTCCGAAGTTGCAAATTATGGATCTGGTCAGCTGGTCTCTCAACGCAATTCATCAAATTTTTTCCACTGGGAAACCAGGTAAAGGGGAACTCTCATGTCCCAACGGGACATTCTTCGCTGGATACACGATGGATTCTGGATGGAAGTGGAAGACCGTGTGTCTGATGACGCTGTCAGTCGAGGATGTTGAAGATGTGTACATGATTGGATTTATGATAACAGGTTTTCTGCTTAGAGAAGTTGGCAGCTACCTGGCTTATCAGAAATTTCGTAAGATGCCAGCGGCCGTTTTGGCCACTTCAAGGCTGCCGGGTACGGTTGATGGGATCTGCAGAGCGATCAACACTCAGACTGACATGATACAGGAGCTGAGCTGTAGATTGGGTTCAATCCTGGAACTGAACTGTGGCCGGGCACCGGATCTGGGACTCAGAATGGATATGGTGTGACCTTGGAGAACGTTGTTCGCTTGGATCAGGCGGGAGACCCTAAATTTGGCTGTTTGGATTTGCCATTGAGAAGCACCAGCGAGACTTCCAAGAAAGGCAGTAAACTGATGTCAGCCTGACCTAAACAAATTTCTGCTATCGGAATCTGGCTTCCCGGGCTGGCCTGCTGGCCAGCTATCCTCCCCTGGTTGTTACGTCCAAAGAAGGCTCTGTTCTGCTGCTCCCCCGCCCTCCTTTCCCTGAGAACATCTGTGGGCCCTGAACTGATAAGCTGGTGGTGAACTCTTACGTCATACTCACACAGACAATCACAGACAATCACGTGCTTCAGTTAGGGTTCATGGTCTGACACACACATAACTCACATGAGACCCATATGCATGTCACATCTCCTCCTTGTACCAGGCTTGTTTTGTCTGTACTGTATGTGTTTATATGTTCTTATGTGCTGAGGTTTTTTTCTTCATCTCAAACTCTGCCTTCAAAGAGCAGAGTGTGAGACAGGCTGTTTTTTTTTTCTTCTCCTTACCTGATGTTTTTCTTATTTTTCCTATTTCCTCTGCAAGGCGGTGCCTGTTGGGCTGCGAGGCCTCAGCCAATTATCTCCCCTGCCCGCCTGTGTTGTGGTGTAATGGATGGTTATACTGAAACTGCAATTTCGTTGTCTTTTTGACAATGACAATAAAATAAATTATTCTTCTTCTGATTTTTTCAAAGACTTTTCTGATGTCTGTGGATCTTTTTGAAAGTGACAACTGTTTTTTTCTCAAAATACTCCTGAGTTTCACCAATAATGTCATGATGATTAGTATTTTGGGATTGTCCAAGTTCACTTAGTTTCATGCTGGTGAAACTAAGTGAACTTAGTGAAGCTAAGTGAATCTTGGTTTCACTTAGCTTCTATTTCAAATTGCATACTTAGGCTGAGAAGTGACCTATTTTTTGTGATAAAATCAATCTCAAAGTCAATAGAGTTTTATACAAACAATTCAGTGAAATTTTCACAACCTCTTATAAGATGACGTTATGTGCCAGCTTGCAATCTCTGATGCCACTGTATCGGAGATACGGCTGGATGGGTGTCCCCTTTCCTCCCCCACGTTGGGAATCATTGACTTGGCTCATATACATAGCTCAAATGACTGCTTGGTCTAAGTCACTGATGTGATATTTAAATATGTGGGGAAAACAAGGTTGTTTTACCAATATCACTAAAGCAACTCAAATTATTAAACAAATGTGAGTAAACCTATTCTGTACTTTTAGTTTGCACAATTTTGACTGGCCAAAGTTTCCAGTTTAAATATGGGTTTTAGTTTTGTAGTTGAGGGTGTAGATATTTCTTTTAAAGATACCAAACAAGGTACAAATTTCTACCAACCTCAATGGACAGTGTTCAATTTTTATGGCTATGATTACAGGTGATGCTGTAGTCAGGTTTGGTGTATGTGCGTGTTAGTACCTCTCAATGAAGCATGAGTATTGAATCCTGATAGGGAAACCTTCTTTTCGGATGTGAATTGTCTCCAGTACGCCTGAGTGTCTCAGCTGAAGAGACATATAGTCTACATCAAAGATCCCAGGAAGCTGACAAAACACACATTGGAGACAGCACTTAGTTACATTTCAACAGCTCATCAATTCTGTTGCTTACAAAACTATGGCTATTTAATTATCAAATCTATATTTCCTTGCTGTGATCAATTCAATTTATACTTGTGATAACAAGTATAACGCTTCTATGTTGTTTCCCATGTGAGACATAACAGTTGCTTTTAAGATTTAGCATTTTCACAGTGTTCAATTAAAAAGCAATAAAAATGAAACAACCTGAAAACAAAGTTGAGTTACTTCACACAATTAGGCTCAGCACATCCATATCCAGTTATAAGGCATGTTGCCATGTACATTTTGATTGTACAGCAGAAGCTAATGGAAATGTTTTATATTATAATAATTTTTACCTTCACAAAATTTGGCTTCAGACAATGGATGATGATAGTGTTGCATCTAAGAATGCAAAAAGAACATTTGAATTAGTCTCTCAGCTAGAAGGATAACATTTAAATCAAGATAAAGACAGTATTATCTGATTCTGAACTTAATCCTTTCTTAACGAATGCTACATTTTTGCCAAATAAAAATTGAGGAAATATAAATAATTCCTGCTTACTCACAATGGGTATGGGAAGTATTCAGACTCCGTTTCATTGTAGCAATTTGCTAAAAACAAAAAAGTTCATGTTATTTCTCATGAATATACACTCAGCATTCCATCTTGACAGAAAAAACAGAAATGTAGAAATTTTTGCAAATTTCTTTAAAAACAAAAACTGAAATATCACATGGTCATAAGTATTCAGACTCTTTGCTCAGTATTGAGTAGAAACACCCTTTTAAGCTGGTACAGCAATGAGTTTTATTGGTAATGATGCAACAAGTTTTTCACATCTGAATTTGGGGATCCTCAGCCATTCTTCAGTGCAGATTTTCTCCAGTTTCGTCAGGTTGGGCGGTGAACGATGATGAAGCCATGTTCAGGTCTCTCCAGATATGCTTAATTTAGGTCAGGGATCTGGTTGGGCCAGTCAGGAATGATCACAGAGTTATTTCGAAGCCAGTCCTTTGTTATTTTACCTCTGTGCTTCAGGTGATTGTCTTGTTGGAAGGTGAACCTTCAGCCCATTTGAGGTCCTTGGCACTCTGGAAGGGGTTTCTTTCAGGATATCTCTGTACTTGACTGCATTCATATTTGCTTCAATTGCAACCAGTCACCCTGTCTCTGCAGCTGAAAAACACCCCAATAGCATGATGCTGCCACCACTACGTTTCACTTTTGGGATTGTATTGGGTAGGTGATAAGCAGTTTCTGGTTTTCTCCACATATACCGCTTAAAATTAACATAAAAAAGTTTAATATTTGTTTCATAAGTCCAGAGAATCTTATGTCTCATAGTCTGGGCATCTTTCATGTGTTTTTTTGGCAAACTGTGTGCTTTCATATGTCTTGCTTGCACTGAGGCGAGGCTTCCATCGGGCCACTCTGCCATAAAGCCCTGACTGGTGGAGGGCTGCAGTGATAGTTGACTTTGTGGAACTTTCTCCCTTCTCTCTACTGCATCTCTTGAGCTAAGCTCTATGAAGAGTTCTGGTTGTCCCAAACTTCTTCAATTCAAAGATTATGGAGGCCACACTGTGCTCTTAGGAGTCTTGAGTTCTGCAGAAATTCTTTTGTAACTTTGGCCAGATCTGTGACTTGCCACAATTCTGTCTCTGAGCTCCTTGGGATGTTCCTTCAACTTCATTATTCTCATTTGACTCGACATGCACTGTGAGCTATGAGGTCTTAGACAGTTCATAGTTTTAATAATCAAGTTCAATCAATGAAGGAGTAGAATCATCTCAAGGAAGATCAGAAGAAGCGAACAGCATGTGAGTTAAATATGAGTGACACAGCAAAGGGTCTGAATACTTATGACCATGAGATATTTCAGTTTTTCTTGTTTAATACATTTTCAAAAATTTCTACATTTCTGTTTTTTTTCTGTCAAGATGGGATGCTGAGTGTACATTCATAAGAAATAATATGAACATTTTTGATTTTAGCAAATGCGTCCAATAAAACAGAGTGATAAATTTAAAGGGGTCTGAATACTTTCTGTGCCCATTGTATGAGAACAGAAATTACATTCTGCATCACCCAGTCTGTTATTTGCAACATCTGAATTACTGCAAAGGAACTACAGCTCAGAATTTCTTCTCTTTGCAGGAAACAGGATGCAAAGAATTCCATGGACACAGTAATAATTGACCCAGCTCAGGCGTCAGTGACCACTGCAAGGCTGTCACTCTGCTGTGCTATTTGTGTGATCCCCCTCCTACCACCAGAAATGTCATACGTTCCAGGTCAAAGCTGAGGTACACACCTAGTGTCAGAGAGCAAAAGTGTGATATGCACAGATATCCTGAACAAATCTTGGATATCATTAGATCACATCCAAATGCTAAAAGACTCATCATTAATGTAGGCACAATATCCCCAAACAGCAGTCTAAACTCGTGACACAGGATTTCAGCCATCTTACTCAATACCATTATATGGTTCCAACTTCAAGTTTTATCTCTGGCCCACCTTGGAGTATTGATAATGTTATTTTGTTGGCTTCTTACAGGTTTTTCTGCTTTTACACTCCACAGCCAAATGGTAATGCTGCAGATGCCCATTATCTTCCAGCGCACAGGTGGTCAGCCCAATCTCTTTGATGTTAGAAAGTCAATAGAATGTGACTCTCCCAAATGTGCACTGCTTGAAATCTGAGACACAACTGTTTGTGATTTGCCAATAAATTGTAAACCGATCCCCCAATTGGGAAAGGGAGGGTCTTTGTGCCACTTTGTGCCAATTCCTGTTAATAAAGGAGAAATCTTGCATCTTGCAGGTACGCTGATTGTGATTACTCCATCTACTTAGGTATTTTCCAGACTGTGTTAGATTTCCTTGAGTGTTAGGAAATCTAACACTAAAGAGTGACTAGACATAAGGAACATAATAAAATTAGAGTGACTTTAAAAAGAACTGAACAAGGCACACGCAGAGGGTAAAGAGTGGAGAAGGCTTGAGCCTCTGCCCCTTTTATCCTTGATGCCCCAGGTACCCTTTTTTGAGTTATTTGAGTTAAGCCTCTGTCGAGCTTATTACAAACTGAACAGTCAGGAATCAGAAAAGCCTATCTGAAGGTCTGTCCCTGCTAATGATTCATAAATTACATCTTCCTATTGCTCTTTCAAATACAGCAGAGAGATACACAGCGGGGTGGCTCGAGCTCTTCAAGCAGTGCTGGCCCAAGATAATATGGGGCCTTAGACAGAATCTGATTCAGGATCTGATAGGTACTTTTTCTCGAACCTATATAAAAAGACCACAGACAACGTATATGAATTTTATAGACAAAGCTTTTGCAAAAGGAGAACTCTCCGCCACCGCCTCTCCAGGCCGTTCACAGAGAGTTCTGATCTCCTTCCACGCGAGCCCCTGTTTTATTGTCAAAGCAGAACAGCCAGAAAAAAACAACAGAGGTCGTAAAACTTCTAACCTAAACAAACCAGCAACTCAGTTCCAGGTGTGATATCTGATCTACGGTCTGAGCCCAGTTCAAATCTCGGTCAAACTGTCAACAAAGAGGGAGGATAAACAAGAGACAAAATACGACTGCTCATAAGCAGTTAGGAGGTATTCTGGTTGATAAGAATTAAGGTCTGGGAAACACAGAGTTAACTGTCTCACACGAAGATGAAACAGTCAGTCGTAGCCTCCACGTCAGTTTATACACACATAAGGAAGAAAACACTTTAAACTAAAAATCACAATAATACTGATTAACATTAGACTGAAAGTAATAACAAAATGATAATACCAAAAATCTCTATCAGGATCCCCCTTCCTACTAGGGTTTGAATGACTTCATATTTTTTAAGGTTGACTACAACATAATAAAAGTCAAGTCAACACCTACTAGTCGCGGTGACATCATAGTGACATAAGCGTAAAACGCTTAACAACTTAGAGACTTTATCAGCTATATTCACATCAAATATTGATTAAAAAACCCAGCTTTTACTAAGTCTATTATGCAAGAAGCAGATCATTATCCCGGACTTCGAAAAATTGGGGTCGGATCTGACTTTTTTTTTTTTTTTTTGCTTTTCAAACAGACTGATACTGATGATCGCACATCAATCAAATCAATCAATCAAATGTTATTTGTTATAGCACATTTCAGCAGTAAGGCATTTCAAGGTGCTTTACATTATTAAAAAACAAATTAAAAACAGCATGTGACATTGAATAAACAGTCAGAAAGAGAAAGATTTTGGAAAAAGAAAAAAAAGGAAAAAGATTTAAAAAAAAAGATAAAAACATACTTTTGTTACGGAATTTAAGCGCCTGTCGTTGCCGGACTCCGCCGTCCGTTTAACACGGGTAGTTTCCAGGCCCCGTCGCCTAACAGGACAAGGTCTCCAACCTTGCAGCACCAGGCTCCGTCCACCTATCACGCGAATTTTTGCGCTAGGACTTCGCCGTCCTACATGGATTTTTGTGCACTATTTTTACCTGTTAGAGTCTAGAATTTACAGGGTTTTTCTGCTACTTTTGTTATGGAATCTAAGCGCCTGTCGTCGCCGGACTCCGCCGTCCGTTTTTTCCTGCCATAAAATCATCTCCTCCAAGAGGTGAGAGATAGTTCATGAGGTGGGGGTAAGGATTGTCTCTGTGGTCCATCTGGCAATAGAGATAAGATCAGACTTTGGGTGGGTCTTTTCCTTGCTGTGACTATATAACGATGTGATGTGTGTCGTTCAGCGCTCTTTTCTTGACTGCGCTCAGCGAGAAGGGTCTTTGAACGCTTTTGCGTAAAGAAACTTAAAGACAAATATTAATCTTTCTCTTATTATTGAAACAGTTTCTCATTATTTGATCAATGAAACTTCCATAGCAGAAGCTTCAACGCAGGGTAACACTGACAAGTTGGATAATAAAAACACCCGACATCATGCTATATCTTCGCACATTACTTCAGTATTCTTTTTTGTTTTTCTAAGAATTTTTTCGGTATTAGTTGCCTTTGTTTGACAGCAATCCGACAGGAAGAGGGCAGGGAGAGAGGAGCGGGAGAGAAGGGAATGGGACAAGCAAATCGAGGATGGGACTCAGGACTCCAGACTACCCTGGCGCGTATTTTGCCACCTGGGCGGTGCGGAGCGGCAAGAAGACCCAGGGGGAACCGTATCTGATGGGGTAAACACGGATTAACGTAACACTGACTCAGGCACGTGCAGTGGGGGGCGCTGGGGAGGCTTGAGCACCTGCCCCTTTTACTTCTTGCCACAAAGTGCCCTGTTGGTCAAATTTCTTTTTTTTTGTATTATTATTTCCTAAGCCCTCTTCTGACACATAACATGTACTAAAAATATTTGTTTTTGTTGGGTTTTTATGTACACTTCAGATGGGGGACGATTTTGGGTGAAGTTTGGTGAGTCTTTGAATAAGTTTAGACCCTCAAATTTCCATTTTTGGGCAGAAAAGAATGACAAGAAATCCTTGAGCTACAATAGGCCTTTGCAGCACTTTCACTGCTTGGTCCTAATAAAAGTACATTTAGAACATATCCATGTGGGCATATACAGTTGGGTATGAAGCCCAACTGTTGCAATTTTATGTTTACTTCATGACTTCAGTTTCTTGAAGTCATGAAGTAAATGGGTAATTCTGAATGGCAGGCAGGCTTATACATGTTTCTACTTATA